GGTTAAAGAGGGAAGGTTGGGCATAGGGCTAGCAAGCCTACCCCGTTAACCTTAGTAAGTCGCTTGAGAATCTTCATTGCACAAGTATGTATCTTGGCAACGAGTACCGTTTGTGTGACACTGGTCCAACTTTTTCTGTTGATCAATATCTACCACGTAATGCCATCACTCTCTCCATCTTCGACACTGACTATATTTTTCATATGCAGTGATTGTGTTACAGAGGGAAGAAGATGAAATATACTGCCCGAGTATATGCACAGGCTAATGTATTCGCATTTGAATATTAACCATGTAAGTAAGTGTGTTAACGAACAGCAGTTAATGGGAGTTGGTAATAAGTGAGTTAAGAAAAAGTAGATTTCAATTAATTCAGTCTTTATAAATTTCTAGGAAGATATCATGTGATCGCATCTATACTATCTTGATTCCTAATATTCTTTCAAATCACTGCGGACAATGAAGGTGTATGTTTAATTGCAGCGTGAAGTTATGCCATACCTTGATCTGTTTGTTTGTAATTTCCATTGTTATCACATGCAAATAAGCTTGCGCGTAAGATAACTTATAACTCCAAGTAAAACTCCCATACTTCTATGTGACCGAAACTCTTTGTCTTGCCTCCTAAGTATCATCTGCATTTCAGTTTGTATTTCTCCCATCTATAAGTCATTCATTGAGTTTTTTTGTAGGGTGAAATATTCCTAACTTTTTCCTTTAGTTTCTTCTCAAAGAATAATTCCGGTGTATATGCATTCGAGTAACAAGTTATGATTTCAAATTATTAACAGTCAACAAAGTCATCGATCCTAAATAGTAACTGAAAAGTTTGATAGTTAAGGGTTTATTACTTCTTTAAGTTGTAGAACAACGATTCAGGAAAGCGGTTACAAAACAATGCTGTTAGGTACTTGATACATGAGAAATAATCGATTGCTAATTCCTTCGTTCTTTCATACCTGTCTTACAATTTTGGTTCTACCCAAATGGGTGCACGTCAAAAACTACCTCAAGGTTTATTTATCAAATGAAGCGATGCCTGTCCAGTATCATTGTTCTTGAATGAATCGGCGAAATGTATGCACAGTGGTTTGTCTACACATACATACATACATACATACATACATACATACATACATACATACATACATACATACATACATACATACATACATACATACATACATACATACATACATACATACATACATACATACATACATACATACATACATACATACATACATACATACATACATACATACATACATACATACATACATACATACATACATACATACATACATACATACATACATACATACATACATACATACATACATACATACATACATACATACATACATACATACATACATACATACATACATACATACATACATACATACATACATACATACATACATACATACATACATACATACATACATACATACATACATACATACATACATACATACATACATACATACATACATACATACATACATACATACATACATACATACATACATACATACATACATACATACATACATACATACATACATACATACATACATACATACATACATACATACATACATACATGCATGCATACATACATACATACATACATACATGCACACATATCACAGTAATTTTGTCGATCAGGTGAAATTTCCGCTCTACTTATATCAGTTTGATATTTCGGTTAGATTGTGTGATTTAGTGTTTGTCAAACTGTAATTTTCCGTCAAATGTGAAAAGGATGACACTTTTGTGCCCCAAATAGTAGTTGTTGATTCTAAGATTAGTAGAAAAATTATAATTTTCTTTAGCAAATATTTGTCTTTGTCTTAAACCTTACCAATCTTATTGTTTGTTTGCTTATTTAAGCATATTTATCCTTCTTTTTTTATTTATGTTCATTTCTGCCTGTTTTTGTTTGTTTTCCAATTGTGTTTTTCTCCTCCTGTGTACTTGCACTTTGTCAATGGTTTGTGTATGCTTACGTAGACAGTTAGTGCATACGTATAATTGTATGTTATCGTGTAGCTAAATAAAAAGAATATACATTTATGCTAAAGTTGTTTATCTTCATTGTAAGTGCATATTTATTATTTCATTTATACTTCCCGATAGTAATACGAATAGTATTAATTTTCTGACTATATGATAAGTATTCACGCGTCTTTTCAATATTCTGTTTTCACAAGCGTTTCTGCTCAAAATGAGCCTAAAAACACTGATTTTATCACGTTCTCATGTATACACATACATGTATGAAAAGGATTGTCCTGTCAACTGGTTATATATATAATGTACTCAATAATCATCAGCACCAGGATGTTTTATTTATTGCACCAGAAAAGACATGCAGCAATGATGTCGATGAAATTTGACTTTTAACATCTATCTATTTGTTGTATAGTACTAATTTAGACAATGAATCAACCAATCATTCTTTTTTTGTTCGATGTGAAAAGTTTTATTTGATATAGATTATTGTGATGTATTTAGTGTGCATAGGTAATATTTATGTTCATATTTCCACTTATATAGTTTACATATTGTCTTTTAGATAAGCAAATAAATGTACAGTAGCCATATGGCTTATAGCTTATTTATGTTCCGAGCTTCTTAATTTCTTTCTGTATTCAACTGATACAAAAAGTTGAAAAGATGCACTGTAAGAAAGAATGACTAAAAAAGAAACAGTAATTCTTCCTTTTATTGTGTATGACAGAGAGATTATTTTTGACTTGCTTGAAAATTTCAATGAAAAAAAATCACATTCTTATATGTCAAAATGTACTCAGTATTCAATATAGTACTGAATTAGCCGTGTTCATTATCAAATGATCACTGTTATTTTCCAATGGTTATTTCTGATCTGATGAAATCATGATTACAAAGTGAGATGTTCATCTAGTTTGTCAGATCCCTAAATTTATTTGTTGCAAAATGTTCCCAACATCCAGAAGCGTTGTTGTATAGTAACTCTGCTTTGATAAACATGGTCTTTGGTTTACTGACAAATGCTCAGTAATTTTTAACATGCTATCTTGATGCCTGTCAGTAGATTGATAAACACAACCGTTTAATTATATAAATATTAATATGCGTTGCTGCTTAATCTAGACAACCTTTGTTGTAATAAGTGTTGAATCTGATTTAATCACTAAAATATCTGCATTCTCATGATGTGCTCATTATATAATCGGTATTGATGTCACTGTGATCATTACCAGTAGTATTGATATTCATTGTAGAATGGGGGGTGGGATGAAAGTGCCGTGTATGTTAAAGTCTGGGGAGCATCTAATTGAGAAAACGGTTTTATCAAACAATATATCCTCAGAAATCCGGATGTTGATATCAGGATTTATAATTTCGATAAATCCTATACTTCTTTATTGTATATCACATTATGCACTATAAAATATTACATACATCAATTGTAATTTAAAGGCTATCATCATTACAAGTTAAAGGCTTATAAATAATATTCTTTTACTTATTAGCTCTTCAGCTAGTGTTTTTAATAATCGATTGACTGTTCTTTGTTTGCTATCTTTTTAATTAAACAATTACGAAACAAGTGGCTCAAATAACTCAGTAATAAAGTCTCTGGCTTCAGGAATGTGTGATGCGGGTTCAAATCTCGCATGGAACACCAGTTATATCAAGGTTATAGATACGCTGTGCTAACGAATACCAACAAGCACAAAACCTAGGTCTAGCAGGGCTTCCTAGTGATTGCCTCCAACCAAATAGCATCTGTCAAAGTGCACCTCAATGCTGAATTTTCTCCACTTTGTGATCACATTACACAAAGATCGATAAAATGACCAGTACTTAAGACTAGGAAGCATCTATTATTATTATTAGACCCTTGGGTTCCTAGTGGAACATAGGGCTTCAGCAGCACGTCTCCAGTGAACTCTGTTCTCTGAGATCTTTTGAACCTGGTTCCACGACAGCCCAGAAGCTCTCATTTCCTCCTCGCACGATCTCCTTCATGTCACCCTCGGACATCCAACTCGTCGCTTCCCGTGGGGATTCAACTCGAGGGCCTGACGCGTGATGTCCCAGTTGGCCTTCTCAGTGTATGCCCAATCCATCTCCACTTCCTCCTGCATATTTGTTGGGTGATAGGTTCTTGGTTGGTTTGTTCCCAGAGCTCCTTGTTGCTTATTCTGACTATTCTGGCCATCTGATCTTCAGTATTGAGCGTAGGTGGCAGTTGTTGATGAATGTCTGTAGTTTATTGGAAATCCCTTTCGTAACGCATTAAGTCTCTGAGCCATACAGAAGCACTGACTTGACGTTGGTGTTGGAAATCCGGATCTTGTTCCACATGCTGAGTGCAGTGCAGATCTCCACACTGGTTTCAGGCTAATGAACACCTGTCTTGCTTTTCCGATTCTGACTGGAAGCATCTATACTTTTAGTATATCTCTGACTGAATTATATGCTCCAAACTATACGCTGTTTGATTTTAGTAAAGAGAATTAGAAAGATACAGTTTTTACAAGATGTAGTTTTTAGTCTAGTAAACTTAGTCTATATTCTTTTAAATGCAGTGATTATATATGCATTTACAGGTGAACAACATAATTCCATTAATCCTCTAAATCAGGTACACCTGTCAAATTCTAATGTCAAAACACGTAATCCCATTGAGCCACTTATTAGAAATGTATAATTGAAGTCACTGTCATGAAATGCATTTATTCAGTTTTTCTATACACACTCGACTTGAAGATTTGTTTTCATGTCAACGGTGTTACCACAAATATGATGCATGCATTATGAACTATGATATTGCTTGCTTTCAGTCGAAGAAGATAACAGTGAATTATTGATGCCTTTCATTATATACCATAGAATTAATAAATCCTTTGATGTTTTCTAAACAGTAATTCAATTATTACTCTTATTATACACCTTAAACTATCTAATACTATTATTATTTATTATTATTATTATTGTAGGTCTTGTTCCGTATGATTCCGAACAATTCAGGCAAGATATCACAACTGGTCGATATACTAATATAAGATCAAATCCTATGACTCCTGAATTAAGCGGTTCTCAGTCTACTGGTCATTTTCAACGTGTTCCTCCTAATTCTCAGAAATTCCCTCAAGGAAATCCTGAAAACCAAGGAGCTATGGGGAATATAAACTCTCAGTACTTAAATACTTCACATGTGAGTGAATTTAGTCCATTTAAATATCCTAATTGCTATTATAATCTCACTTCATGAAGTGAAGTATATATGTATGTTTGCATTATGTTGAAGTGATATTTTGCTTTAAGCTGAGATCACACTGTACCAGTGAACTCTTTTATTTCATGCACCCTTGAGTCAACCCTGGGGGATTGAATGAAGTTAAAAAGTTTAAAACTGTTTCCTTGTTGTGTTCTACGTGCAATGTTAACCAAATTAGGATTTTATTGAACGAAGTTGACCACACCAAAACGTGACACCACTCAATGAAGTCGTTGACTGTTGGTCTAAGATGTGTAAGAAGATATGGAATGCTTAGTTATGACCCTTGAGACCGTAGGAATCTATGGCTGGAGACCCTTGGCAATATAACGTGGAACCGATCACAATAACTCAATTATGTACATTCTTCATCATCGAAGTCTCGAGTATTTTTATTGATTTTCACCTACTTTTTATCTCTCCTCTTACGCTTTTGTCTACTTTTTCTATCCACTTCTTTTTTACATATTAAAGTGGTATGTCAAATTGAGGTGATGCACTTTTTTTTGCCAGGTTTTATATTGATTTTTGTTTGTCAGCTCCTCTATATCTGTTGAACACTACCGGTGTGTAGCTAAATTACAGAATAATTAAGACTTCAGTCCAATGGGTGGTTTTATTGGTATATAGATTCGTTAGATAATAAACATAAGTCGATTAGGTTCTTTAGTACTCATGTTTGGTGCGTATGTCTGTCAACTAACTGTTCTAACGAGTGACATTGTCTATTCTCAGTATATATTGGTGAAAGTTTCAGGATTCTGAGAAGTGACATTGGCAACAAAATTTAAAAGAATTGTGTATCCATCCAATCTGCCATACGGTCAATATCAGCACAGAAAGAAAAAAACTGACATAGAGGAAGATGAATTCATGAAAATGTTGATAACTGAAGTGACAAACAAAATTCTTAATGATATGAATATTATAAGTATTTCAATGAAGAATCTCTTTTCAGTGATTTCATTTTCAAAGCTGTACAATCGCAAATTTATACACTTTTTCTAGTGTAAGGAATTTGATGGTTAAAAACAAGCATGGTAACACAAATAATGTTAATAAATGAGTTATCATTAAACTCAAAAAACAAAAAACTGATGAGTAGCTAATATTAATCAAAATAAATTTGAATAAGAAGTTTCGTAACATAACAACGTACTTGGAAACTGAATTGTGACCAAGCAGAACATAGCGACAAGAACAAGTAGCAAATTACTTCGGAAGTGAATAGTGTCAAAACAGGAATATGAAAAAAAAGGGGGAGGGGAATAGAGGAGACTGAAAACTAAGACTATGAAATGAGAGAGGAATGATCAATCTCGTTTTGTGTACACAGTTTAGGCTTCTCCATTCGGATGGCGTTGCAGAGAATACGAAGACATACAGACTTTGGGAGGTTTTGGTTTTTTGATTTTAATGATAACACTATTTGTGTTACCATGCTTGACAAACTGTTTTTAACCATCAAATTTCTTACACTAGAAAAAATGTATAAATTTGCGATTGTACAGCTTTGAAAATGAAATCCCCGAAAATAGACTCTTTACTGAAATACCTGTTCTTTTAAATCATTATAGGTGTATTTCACAATGAATATAATACCCGTATAAGGTGTATTTTGCTTGTGTAATCCCGGCGTAGTATATTAGAACATATAACTAAACACACAAATATTTTTTATATATTAAATACGATACTAATGGGAATAAATATTGACTAATATACTCAAGATTTACAGGACTATAAAGGTTGTATGCATATGGTGTTAATGGGACTGGATTTAAGTCATACAATCAATTTCTCTAGCCTCAAATGATCTTAACTAAGAAACCTTAGATCTATCTGCATAACCAGAAATTCATGTGTCGGTGTTGAGTCTTTCTTCTAGCCTAGTACTTCTTCAATTGACGTCAAGCTTTTTGGTCTAGACAATGATTTGACATACAGAACACGTGTCAGCCTCGACCACCCCCACCAATTAGTGAAATTGATGCTGTAGCTCTTAGTCGTACATTATCTATACTCGCTTTCATTATTATTATTACTATTTTTATAAAGAAACACCGAAGGAAAAGTAATATTCACATGAAAATAGTCATTATTTTAAATGATAGGAATTATTATCATTCTTTTCACTAGGCAGACAAAATCATTTGGTATAGTTGCTGCATTTACAGATAAAAAAAACTAGCTTGCAAACTAACTAGAGATTATTTCCTTGGTTATTTTCTTTGTTAATTCCCTGAAACTGATAAATTTCTGTCTTACTCTTTATTTTATTCTTTTAACGACTACTATATAAATGTGATGGATTATTCTGTGCCCTTGTGAAAGCATATATATATATATATATATATATATATATATATATATATATATATATATATATATATATGACTTTTCACTTCTGGTGAATCTTCTGTGAGCAATCAAGATATGAAGTGAACTGTCCAAAAGGTTGAATACTTTCGAAAATTTCACCGACGATTCAAATAAAGATCCCGTTTTATTTTAGACGTAATTTCTGAAGATTGCTTTGTTTACACATAATTGTCTAACTGACTTTATGAACTTGATGTAATTTTTTATGAACTCTCTCATAATCCCTCTGATTTAGTTTGACTTGTTTAACTAGTCAATATTACTGTCATTGATTAAGTGTTTTATTACTGCTTAACTCTGTTAGTGTTCTATAAATCTAAATGTAGAAGTTTATGATGTTTTTGTTTAGTTTGATCAACAAATAATCCATAGCTTTGACTTTCTTATTTAATGAGATGATTTAAAAAATGTTTAACTTGGAGTTTTCTTTTTACCACTTAGTTTTATATTCTGATAATGATGGTTGGTGATTAGCTGTTTGTATCTAGCTTAACTGATGAATAATTTGTCTGAGCACTTTCTTCTTCTTCTTCTTCTTCTTCTTCTTCTTCTTCTTCTTCTTATTATTATTATTATTATTATTATTATTATTATTATTGTCATCATCATCACAACGTGTTATAAGTTTCAAGATGGATTTATAGTGTGTGTTGCGATGATATGGATTATTAATGATTCACATTTTTCTCATTTATACCATAAAGCATTACAGTACTCATTACTGATTTTTTTTTATTTTTTATGTATACTCATATCTTTTAATAATTTTTTCTTCTACTTTGCAGCCAAGTAGCAATATTCCACTTTGTGATACAAGTCCAGGCAATACGCAATCTACTTGTTTAAATGCTTCATATCAATATCAGAATCAATCACACATTCCACAGTATATTCCACAACATACACAAGGACAGAATGCATCAAAATCACAGACAATTTGTAATAATACTTATCAAGGTATGCAATTGAGTCAACGATCTACTCCTTCACCACATAATATACATGATAGTATGCAAACTGGACCATGTATACCATCATATGCGTTGGAATCAGATGAATCAACACAATGGGTATCAAATAGGACAGATTCATCAAATCATCAGAATCCGCAACTTTCGATATCAAACAATACAATACCACATCAATCAGTACGCACATTACAATCTGGACAAAATCAACATATGATTCAGGTATTCTTCTTCATCATTATCATCATATTTTCCAAAGAAGTTCATGTTAACTTTTATGAAAATTTATATTCAGTGATTTTGGTTAAGAAGTTGTATCATCAGTTCATAATAAAGCTAATGTATATTATATACATTTGTAGTTAAACGAAACTCAGCTTTAACCGAGTTGTTGGAGTTGTAAGACATTAGTGTTATTGGTTGTATGACGCCGTACTTGATTGAACTGAATTGATGAGTCTTTGTTGGCATATGGGCTCCTGTGCGGATGCTTCAATATTGCCTGTGTTTTGTTATCCAGGATGCGCATCCTGGATTCCACTGCTAGCCACTACCCACCGTTGTAGGACATTTCATATCATAGTTCCAAACGCATTCATGCATTTATTGATCAATGAGAGATTTTATAAACTCAGTATTGTGCAATTATAACTCTACTTCATGGCGTTTTATTTCATGCTATATCAGGAAAACATGTAATTTGAAATAATGCATTGCTGACTAACATATACTACTTATTGGTGCATAAGGATATATTTTATTTATCATTATCACTGTAGTTTGTCTGGCATAGACATGTTCATCTATTGTTTGTTCCCTGTGGTTAACGCATTAGGTCTTGTGCATAAGTATTCAGCTGAGGTCAACCTATACGACTTGTTCAACACTTATCATTCAGACGTTGGACTTTTCTTTTTAACAATACACAATGGCAGACAATATGATACACATTCTCAGGTCTAGGGTGTTGGATAGTGTTGATATCCTACTCTAATAAGAATAGGTTGCTTTTGTTACCCTAAGCTTAATATTTTTAAATAAACAGGTCAATTTCTGAGTACTTAAAAGTGGGAATCATGAACTCTACCAAAGAATTATTCAATATATTTCTGCAAATTTAGTATAAACTTTGAGATGTACCACTAGAATAACATATTTTATAGTGCACGTGGGGGTTGAAAGTTCTTTTCAGCACTACACATCAAGGCATCTTAAATGAATGCATTTTTTCCGCTTCGTTTTCCCTATTACACAACGCTGAAGGATATTCCAATCAACTAGTTTCATTATTATTCTTTATTCTGGAAGTAGGAAAATATGAGCCAGTGCTTGCATGGTGATGTGCTCGGCTTGAAACCGGATGGTTCTAAACTCAGCCCCTCATAAGGTCATGGGAGCTTATTACTGAAAAGTTGCATACTAATCCGTTACAGCTGTCCATTACTCACAGCTTTTCAATGGTTCTTCAACTAATGACAGTCTGTGACGAATACTACCTGGAACAGAAAGTGTAGATCTGAGATATTCACATTCTTATAGCATATTTTCAATTTCTTAGACAGATAGACAAGATCAGTGTAGAACCTTGCACACAGATACACCGGCTCGTCTCTACGCTTCACAGTGATTCACAAAGAACAAGTGGATAGGAAGGATTCATATCAAAGTAGACAAGTGTGTGAGACGAGGAGGAATTTAAAAATCAAGGTTATTTAAAACATTCAAGCCTCAGAAGACATGAAAAAGTGTATGCATTTGCGCCATTGCGACCAATTTGTCAGCCATTTCACCGACCACTCGATCACTGGTTCTTACCTTTTCGAGGACCCTAGTTAAATGGTCTACATCTCCCCACATGGCTCGGGTCAACAGTCTGGGTGGGACTTCATGCACTGATGGTGTGGGCACCCTGAACCCTCTTTCAACCGAATCCAACTTCCCCTAAAATAGCACGTCCAGGTAGGTGGTGACTCGACATGCACAGAAAATGTTCAAGCTAACTCTCAGTTGAAGGTTCGTAGCCTCATCGATCGATCTGCCCATATTGCTTAGTACCCTACACCTGACAACAACATTTCTCAAACGGTTTCACGAAATGTCAGCAATCCTACGAAGATAACTATGATCAACACCCTGCAACCGCCTCATGTCTTTTACTTTGAACGACTGTCTGACAATCGCATAAGAGGACAGAACAGACTACAGCGCAGCCTACTTTTCCTTTGATTGATAGACAATTGGATATCTCGCCAGTCGGCGTCGCAAAGGATGCGAGTTGGCGGATGCGAATTGGGTCTTCTGTATGTGAGGTGAGATTTGGTCGGTACAAGACCGTTCAGACTGATGCAACTCAAGTAGGTGAAGTGGTCGAGACATTCAACTGCTTCACTTCGAACCAGTCCTGAAACACGTTTCTTAGGGATATCCTATTGTCGTTATATTTTTCTTAATTCTATCTAACCAACCGTTAGCAATATGGCAGTAATTAGGTTGATTATCAGAGAAGCTTCACTTTATTGTAGTCATTTATATTATTATTTTTATTTATTTTGTCACTCCTCTCACTTTCTTGATTGAATATGTGACAACTTGGACCGATGCACAATTATGTCTGTTTTCCACCGTTAGTATCTATATGCTGTATACTTAAAAATCATCAATGCCTTGCTGACTGTTTTTTGCTACTTTTGAAAGGCGTTTTATACGTTTCGTATTCAGTTATAATGAATTTGTCAAAGTACGATTAGCATCAATTTTCATACTGAATATCTGTATATTTACCTTCGTATACCTATTTAAATAATAGAGCAAAGAAGCAGTGTGAAATGATCTTGTTTTTTCAGAAGTGTTTAATTTTAACTATAAATACTTCATCGCTGTTTACTTCAAGGAGAGTAAATGTCTTTATATTGTGCAGAGAAGAGAAAACAAGGCGAAACGGTCTGCATAAATTAAAATGTCAACTAATTTATTATTATATAATATTTTATTCTACTTTCATTTTAAATCAATTTTCATTTGTGTATTAAATGACTTGTTTTATTTTACATTTCAATAGCAAGCTATTCTTCAACGATCGGGAATGAATACTCCTTACACCAATAATGGATCTTATCCTTGTCATCCCCATTCTCGCCCTGCAGTAGATCGTCTCAATGTGCCTACACCAATGCAAGGTAACTCAATGACAGATCCTTCAATTGTTTTAGATCAACCTGTTGTTCATAATTCACAACTTACTGGTGTACTCCTACAGGGGCAACAACAACAATCTCAGTCTTATTTCGTCCCAAGTGGTACAAGATTTCAAGGTGGCGTCGGACCTGCGCCTGTTAATTCTTACCATCGAAATAATGTACCACAAATTCCGTCACAAAACTCCATGTATTCCCAACCACAGGCGTTTAATCAAAGAGATCATTATCTTACTTCTCAGCCACAGAACCATGTACCACCAAGCAGTAATATAGGTGGCGGATATACATGTTATCCATCTTGTAACAATATGTCTACAAATAGTATGTCAAATCCATCTGGTCATCGCTTCATTTCTGGACCAACCAATGTGGGAAGTATGCAGCTACCTAATCAACCATTACATATTCCTAAACACCCGCATCCACCTATACTCTCCCAGTCAGAAAATTCAGGCAGTCGTCATGGAACATTTAATCATCAAAGTCCACACACACGTTCTGGTCCGTCCAATGCTAATTGTAATACTTCTCTTGATAGTCTTGGATCTACGTATGGAATTCCTTCACAAGACCTCACACATCATATGATGCATACTGCATTACACGGATCACTTAGGCAGCAGCCTTCGTATGACTCTTGTGGTGGTAATGGTAGTGGTAGTTCTCAGGGCTTCTTTTGATGCTATTCACTTCTATACTCTTTCTGTGATTTTTTATGTTGTGCCTGATCTTGTCAACGTTGTCTTCAAGTTGTTTACTTGTATATGGACTATATACGGCCTATTCTAACTGACAAATCACTTCATCCATCTGGTGTTTCTTAGTACCATATATACTTTGGTGATACTCTTCGCACCTTGTGTTTTTTGTGTATTGGTGATCAGAACTTAAGTGCCATGTCTAGGTACATTCATATATACTTTGGCACAACTTTTGATTGGTAGATTTTATTGCCTAAATCACTTGTCTTTCTTTTGTGATGTTTTGTTTTTGTCCATTTTCTTCTCACTCCCCACATCCGCCACATCAATTTGTATTTTAAGCACAAACACCAATGCACACAGCTGTTTATATATCCACACATACATACATACACACACAAAGCATTTTGTGTGTAGATTACCTTGATTATTATTGTTATTATAGTTTATATATATAACATCACTATTGGTATTGTTGTTTATTCAAATGACGGTTATCGAAATTATGTTGTACATTAGCCTGTGTTAAAAGAACTGATAACTTGATTTCTTATTGGTTGTTTACGCGTTTCTTATTAATCGTTTGGTGAGAACGGTTAACGGATATTAGTTTAAACTTCTTTTTTACCAAGGGTTACGGTCCTTTGTTACATAATTTTGACCTTAACTATTTGATGAACGATTTCGGTGTAACCTGTTTTCTGACTTGGATTTGCAATAATACAGTATATATATATATATATATATATATATATATATATATATATATATATATATATATGCGTAATATTATTCCTTCCTTGTTAGGTGACTACTTAGTTTATTGATAGGTTATGGAGTGAATTTGGTGTAGGGGGATTGTCACTTTTTTGTGGTTGTAGTTTCTGCTGATGTTTGGTTGTAAGTGGTTGTCTTCTTTCTTTCTGTCTTTAGCTTTTTTTCCTACAAAAAATATATTATATGCGATTGAACTTTTGAGGTTGATCAAAAAATGATAAAATAATTTTTAGCACAATTTTGTTGTGAATTCCATGTTTTTCTTTCTATAATACTGAATTATAGAAGTGAAACAGTATTATTTACTTAGTAATGTTTTATACGTAGTTGGTTATTCATAATCGTGTCAAGGATTTCAGCTAGAACTGCAGTCTATTACAGTGTTCATGCTTTACTCTTATTTTGAGAAATACTAATTGTATTTTAAGGATGGATAGTAACTAACAGTAGAATCCAGGATGTACGTTTCGTCAACTGGATCCCAGTGGGCGGTGCTTTTCCGAACGTAGTACCTATCGTACCATATGCTAGGTTGTTATCCACTTAAAACACCACCGTTAGCTGCTGCCTTATTCTCTTTTCACGATCTTGTACCACTTTTGACTACTTTCTCCCTAATTTTTGACCTTTTAGTTACAATAGCCACTCATCGGGCAATATGTATAGTGGATACACTTTTGGTGTTTGAAGCAATATGTGCTAGGTTTGAGTCTCAGGGGGGACTGCATCACTAACTGGGAGGCATGTGCATGTCGATAATGAGTTCCAAATCGAACAAAACGCACGTCCTGAATTCTACCGATAAACATCCCCCCTAATGTCAAAATGAAACCATTAGATACATCGCTGTGTCCCCGCAGGTGCACATGTGCCAACAAAGGTTGATCGAATCGGTCTGAACCAATCAGCAAAGGGAAATAACAACTCCTAATATTAACATTTTAATCTTCTTATCAAGTTGTAATCCAAGTGTACAAAGATCCAATTTATTGACGAAATTGTTTAAGAATGGTTTGAATTTGAATATTTTTTGGAATTCCAAATAAACTAGTTATTGGCATACTACCCGTTGCTACTACCGATTGAGTGGTTCAGTGAAGTTGTTGGATTGGTTTTGTTGATATAGCGCCGCCGCTCTATTGAGGCTGAGAAGACGGCTTAATTTTGACTGTTGAGAGAAATTAAAAGTTGTAACAAGGTTTCCGTTGATGAACTTGTGGAAGAATCATTACCAGATATCCCTATACATAAAAACGAAGCTGAGATGACCGATGTGCTTCCGTATGCAATAGGTTTGGGCTCCAGGTTCATTCTTATTCTGATATAAAAACAGTGTACTAACACATACCTGTAAAATTCTTACAGTTATGCATGAAGTATTTAAAAATTTGTCGATGATGAAGTTTGCTAGAAAATGAGATATATGAACTTTTCTGGTTATTTCGGAATGCAGAATCAAACGTTATTACAACTTTTAATTTTGATTATTGTAGAATCTAGATCTCAGTAACATATTCCATTTATTAATCATGCTATGGTTCGTTGTATTGTCTATCTTCTGGCATATTCTTCATAAAATGTTTCAGACCCAGTCAAATTTGGCTGGTTATTTTTACAGAAATCTCACTTCATTTTCAAGATATCGGAGTTTTTTCTCTTCTATTGATCAAGTTGACAACTGTTGGAAAATATTACCTGTGAAATATTTAACCTATAACTGCCATAAGTTCGGTTATTTCTTTGTAAAACTCCATAAGTTTCTCCTACTTTTGCTCCGGTTCATCAACCAGAATGCAATAAAAGTTCGCGACAGCCTCTTTATCTGGATTACTTTGATTTGTTACTGTTTAGGTTGAGGAGTCAATTCGCGTATAAGCTTCTTGACCAGTTATTCACATCCTAGTTGGATTGTGTTGCTCTCCTTTCGGCTCATATCCATCCAAACAGTATTTCTATCTTAGCCTGTCTATCGTACTATCTAACTGAGTGCTTATCCCTGTCTTAGCTTTGTTTCTTACGTTCAGTGCTAATAAATGCATGCACTGAGTACAACATGACTATGTTTCAGGTAATTTTTGAACTTGTGGTTGTGTATGATTATATGTAACAGGTATAGGTAAATATTCCAACCGAAATAATATTATGAAAGAAAGGATGATCAGATGAAATAGTTATTTTGTTAAGGCTCACAGCAGAGAATAACTTCACTTTCTTTTCTTATTTCTTACCGTTCTTTCGAAAAAACAAAAAAGTGCCTGACTATCAAAACTATCCTTAAATTTCAGCTATTTGACGCATTCTTCAACTAGAATCACATAAGCTTCTTAAAAGTGTTGCTAATCACTTGTCTAAAATTCTTTGCAGAATAAATGAGTTTAATAGCCGTTCGCAAAAGCATGAACCGGCTAACATCGCTGACCATTAAAATGCAGAATGAGTGTGACACAGTACAGCTTTATTAGAACACAAGTAGCCAAATATAGATAATGAGGTGGTTGGAACACTATTTCCTAATGCATCTTGTTACTCCCACTAATCATTAGTAATGGTTACTTCGTTAAGTAACAAAAGGTTACACCTGATCTGTGACTTCGAAAATCATCTTTATTTCTAAAAGACATTATTATGCATTCGAAGTGATAAAGTGGTGGAACAATTTAAAGAGAATATGGGGAATTCATTTTATTGTAACGTTTTCCTCTCATCTGCCTACCAATTCATGTTCATAAAGATAAGTGTGTTTGAAATTTTTCATTTACTCACATTTCAATGTAAGGCTAAACAACTCAATGAGAGTAATCGTAGCCATGTAACAAAATAAGTCATTGCCATTTAAATGCATTATACATTCACAGTTATTTCTTTGTCTTGATGTGACGGAGTAGTTAACTGTTGTTTTATGCCATTCAGGTTGTGTACTCACTCATCGTGATCATTATCTGTGGTATCATGGATTGTTGCTGAAAGTAAACCTGTTAATTTCTGAGTAGAACTATTGTCAGTGTTTTTTTTTTTCAAAAGATCTACCAGACCAACTGAAGGTTATTCTCACCTATTGAAAGCTTTGAATATCTCAATTCAGGGCAATAATATAAGATGTTTGATAAATTGTTCAGCTATTAAGTTAGTCTAGGATGTTGAGACCTATATAATATGGTGTATACTCAAAAGTCTAGTAAAGTTCCATCTTTATTTTCCTAATACATTTTCTGCCACATTTGCATATGAATTATTAAACAAATGAGTATAACAAAATCCAAAACCCTATATAGTTTTTATTGTGATTGAACGTACAATCTGATAAACTGTAAGCAACTTAACTCCTCCATAGGTCTGTTCAGTTGAATTTTTGTTTCTTCAACTAATCTTGTCAGTACTATTATCTCTTTCGACGATTAGTCTTCAGAAAATCAGCTTCTTGTTTGTAATATTGTACTATTTTTCTTTTTTATCAAACATTATGTGAATAAGTATCCTAATGGACTCCATTTTTATTTGTGAGCCTAGTAGTTTCTTTTTACTTCATTGCTTATTTTAAAAGAATTCTCTTTTGATTTCACTGATAGGACTTGGTCTTGACATACACTGGAGTTACTTGATTTCTTTTTCTGCAACTGTACACTTCAAGTATCAGTCAGATATGCTTTTTTTATACTTCTTAATTCAGATCTAATGAACTGGCATGTGACATGTGATTATTAAAAAAGTATATTTCAGGAGAGAAAGTGAAACTATGGATGATAGGCTTAAGCGCATATCTTTAATCTAGAGGGTCGTGGGTTCGAAACACATTCCATAGGCTATGATTATGAATGATAGCTTTGTGTAGTGAACTGTGCATAGTTTCTGAGTTTTATTATTACTATTTGTTGTTCAGAAGAGCCTGATTTCAATACACTATCTAAAATATTTTAAATAAGTAACTCACAGTTTTTAGAAGCTTCAGGGAAAATAAAAAACAGTTTTTGAGTGTCTATTGACAAAATATTGGTGATTTAAAGGAAGATGAAGTATCAACACATCCGTAATATTTTGATTAGGTTTTGAGTCATGTCACTTGGAATTTCCATTCATTGGTGAGTAGCAGATCGGAGACTACATTCAGCATTTAGTGGTTGCATATACTGGTACCTGTAGTTTTCCTGAAACTTTATCATTTTAAAATCTATGGTATGCTTTCTGAAAGATTATGGTTTGATATCCCAACCACTTTAATTGGAACGTGTCCACAATCGTATCGACCGATAAACATTTAGAATTAGCTTCGAAGTTGCTTACTCCTCATTTGAGATGTTAAAAATACCTCTGTGATAGAATATTATAATCTTCCTATTCCAAATTAACGTTAGTTATGTTCTTACCAGAATTGACAGAAA